GTGGTGCTGGTGGATCGAACCGCGGTCCCTGATGCTTTGCTAAGCTTGTTCTAAGTAGGTGCTTTAGACCACTGAGCCATCTCTCCAGCCCCCCTTTGGTAATATTTAACGTGTATCTTTTAGTAAGCAAGTTATAACGGTATAGTGTGAGGAGAATTCTGTGGATGTGGTTTCTTTTCCTCATGATGGGACAGGAGGTCATCTGATAACTGGGATGACTATTGAGAGAGTGAGGGACATACAGCATATGCAGCATGGATGTGCTGGACACATGTATGATTTACATCTTAGAAAGAAATGATAGGTCAGCATGAAATTCCAGGGCTAGGTACTGCTTAGACTAGTGCATAATTTAAAACTTTGTTTATAGAATTTTCTATTTAATATTTTCCAACTACTTATATAACATGGAAATCACCAAAAGCGCAACTGCAAGTAAGGGAGGATTATTATAAAATTCTATGTCTACTTTATTTTACTTATATCATAAAGGAAATAATTATTTTTCTAGTAGAATTTAATCTTGAATGTTATTTTATTTGGGCTATAATTCTACTCAGTTTGGGTACTGTAATAATCCAAGAAAAATTGAGATCGTGGTCTGTATTTAGATGAATGCTCAATTCTTGTTATTACTCTATTTTTGCACTTCACATAGAAGAGCCTTCTTAAAATGATACAGTACTGCTGGTACTTTAATTGTTTAGTTTCCTGGGAACAAAGACCATTCTATCTTATACCAAATTCTGGAATTACAGGGCTCTACTTGAGTGAACTAATATGGTTATTTGGATATATTTGGAGTATTGTGCTGCTTTTCCAACTATTATATTTTTATTTTTCACAATAGATAATGAGCCAAAAGGAGCTTTGAAGAAATTGATTTATGCTGCTAAGGTTTGTATTACTATATAACTTTATAAGGATGAAGAAATAGCACATAGATTAAACCTGTATGCCCTTAATCAGTTTTTATTTTATTTTGTTTTGCTTTTTTGAGATAGGCTCTTTCAGTGCAGTTCAGGCTGGCCTTGAGCTCACTATGTAGTTAAGGCTGGCCTGGAGCTTGTGGCAGTCTTTCTGTGTCAGCCTCCCAAATCCTGGGATTGTGTAGGTGTGCTCCATGACACCTGTCTAATAATTATTTTAAACGTCCATTTCATTGTCCACATGTAAGTGTACTTAAGAAATGATCAGAAATTTGTCACTTTGTACTTTTTATATTAATTTTAGAGACTCATAACTTTTAGAATCTAAAACTTCCAAATTTATTCATTTCTTCAGATGATGGATATGTTCAAAATGTTTACTGTACTATATTTTATGTCAGACTTCCTTTAATACGTTCTTTTTCTTTTGGTCTAAGTATTTTCTTATGCCTATTGCACCATATCCTGTCTTAGAAGTAAATACTGGGTTCATTTTTTTTCTGGCTTACTTTTTTCTTCTGTTGTGGTCTTTGCTGATTTATTTGGGGTCTTGGTAATGTAGGTGAAGGCTGTCAAGACTTGTGATGAAGGTAAATAGAATGAACATAGTGATTGTCTTCAGTGCCTAAACATTCACTGATGTTCTCCATTCCTTGTCTCAGAATTAATTATCGATGACTTTACTAGCTCTCTGAGATGGAAGGGGCATTGATAGTTTCTCAGTGACAGTTTTCATCAGAGTGATAAATTAGCCTCCAAAGGGCTGGGGTGCATAGTGAGGGTTTTTGTTTTTATTTCTTTAACTGACTAATGTTGGGTTTTTTCTTTGTTTTTTAAAGTTAAATGCTTCTTTAAAATCCTTAGAAGGAGAAAGAAACCAGATTTATACTCAGTTATCTGAAGTAGATAAAACGAAGGAAGATCTTACAGGTAAATAGTCTACATAGTTTAAAAATATTTCTAAGTAAATGCATCTCTGTGTAGAGGATGAGTTATTGAATCAATTTTGGTAAGATCCAGTTTTTTTTTTTTTAAGAATTAAAAGACTTTTACTTTATTTATTTTTATTTTTTTTCAATTTTATTTTATTTTTTTCCCATAATTTTATTGATGAGATCCAGTTTTATTGGGGAGTATTTGTAGAAAATTAGTCTAGAATTTTGTTGTTGGCAAAACTTTCTCAGTTGCTTTTATATTTATGAGAAATTAATGGAATGTTTGAAAACATTTATTATAGTGTCATATTTAGTGAGTTTTAGTAGAAGTTTTGATCATTTTCTTACAAAAGCAGTCTTGAGTGGTAGTACTAGTTGCTGTATGTGGCTTCCTTCTTTAGTATAAATAGGTGTTTATTAGCACATAGAGGAGGAGTGTTACACCTGTGAAAGTAAATTCTTTCTTTTTTTTTTTTTTTTTTAAATATTTATTTATTTATTTATTTAGTGTGTGGCCAGCTTAGCCCACCAGGGGGCGGGTGGGCTGGCATGTGGTGCTGGGGGATTGAACCGAGGTCCCTGTGCTTTGCTTGGCATAGCTTGTTCTAAGTAGGTGCTTTAGACCACTGAGCCATCTCACCAGCCCCAGTAAATTCTTTCAATTGAAAACATTTCTATTTACTGATAATACTTATTATTTTTTTAAAAAATAAGTGTGTGTTTTTTGGGATTGAACCCAGGGCTTAGTTCAGAGCTACATTCCTACCTCTTTTAACTTTTTATTTTGGAACAGGGTTTTGATAAGTTGCACAGGGTGGGCTTGAATTTGTGATCATCTTGCCTCATTTCCCAGAGCACTAGGATTACAGGTGTTTGCCACCATGCCTAGACTAAAGCTTTTTAAAGTTAGTATAAATAACATCTCATTTTACACAAAAATAAAAAGAATTCACCATATAGGTTTATATCCAGAAGGACGTCATCAATGTCAGCCATGGTTAACTTTGAATATGAGGTTCTGGGCAGATTTTTATTCTTTTTTTTTTTTTTTTTTAACTTAATCAGTATTTTCATACTTCTGTAACACATGAACTATATTTATAGTAAAATACAGCTTTAAAGGTTGAACTACTAGATGTGGAGATAACTAAAAAAGTATTTATTGTCTTTCTCACATGTTGTGTTAGTTTGGCTATTCTACTTTGAAAAACATAAAATTTTGTTTTTAAGAAATATTGCTAGGTGCTGGAGATTTGGCTAGAATGCTTGCCTAGCAAGCTGGAAGCCCTCGGTTTGGTCTTCGGCTCTGAAGCAAAACAAAAATTACTGTGTGTAATGTGTAGTACGGAAGCCATAGGAATGTCACAGAAGAAAATGTCAGCCCTACTTTCAAGGAAGCTATATTAGTATATGTTAACATTTCTACTATTCACATATGAAGATTGAATAATACACTCTTGAAAGATCAGTAGGTAACAAAGGAAGTCAGGGAAGAAGTTTAAAAATTTATAAAATCAAATGACATTGGTGATATACATCAGAATCTGTGTGACATGGGGCCAGGGAGATAGCTCAGTAGAATAAGTGCTTGCCTGGCAAGTGCAATGGCCTGAGTTCAATCCCCAGCCCCCCCCCAAAAAAAAAAAAAAAAAGAATCTATGTGACATGATAAAAGTTCTAGGATGGAAGATGATGTGCCTACATTAGAAAAAAAGAGTGATCTCAAATAATGTGACTCTATATCTCAATATCCTAGAAAAGGAAGAGCAATCCAAACCCCAAACTAGTAGAAGGAAAAAAAAAAAAAAATCAGAGTGGAAATCATTGAATTGAGACTGAAGAAGTAGTATAAACAATCAATGAATTGAAGAGTTCTTTGAAAGGATAAGTACAATTTAAAGCCTTTAGCCAAACTTAGTAAGAGAAAGAACATTCACATCACTATAATTAGAAATGAAAAAGCAAAATTGTAAGACACCATAGAAATTTAGAGGACTATTAGATTCTATTTTGAAAACATATTCCAATATCAGAGAATTTGGAAGAAATGGGTACATTCTTTGGTACGTGTGACTTCCAAAATTGAACCAAGAAGACACAAAAGTCTTAACAGACCAGAAATAAGCAAAGAAATATGATAATAAAAACTCTCATTTAAGAAAAGTGCAGGATCCAGTAGATTCACCTCTGAGTATTACCACAACTTTAGAAAAGAACTAGCATCAGTACTGTACACATTTTTCCTGATTTCAGATTGAGTCCATGAATCCAACATAACCCTGATAACCAAGTGTTGGTAAGGATTTAACAAAGAAAAAAAAAGAAAGAAAATTGTAGGCCAATATCCTTGATGAACATAGTTGTAAAATTCCCAACAGGGTACCTGCACACAGAATTCAGTAGATTACTAAAAAGATCATATACCAAGGTGACTTTATCCCAGGACTGCAAGAATGGTTCAACATATGTGCATCAGTAAATGTAATATAGAAACATTGAAATAAAATGACATGATCACATCAGTAGATATAGAGAAAACCTTTGGCAAACCCCAGCATCCCTTCATGATAAAACCCCTAATAAAAATAGGTGTAGAAGAGGCTGGTGAGATAGCTCAGTAGTTTAAAGCGCCTGCTTAGGTAAGTGCAGGGGACTGTGGTTGAATCCCTGGCACCACATACCATGTCAGCTCTGTCCTCAGGGCAGGCTGAGTGGCCCAAAAAAAAAAAAAAAAAAAAAAAAACAGAAGAATCTTACTTCAAATTGATAAAAGCCACATATGAGAAAAACACAGACACTATCATATTAAGTGAGGAAAAACTGGGAGCATCCTTATAAAATCAGGAGTAAGAAAAATGTCCACTCTTAACACACATGTTAAGTACTCAGTCAAAAAGAATGAAGAAATTATGTTATTTTCAAGAAAATGGGTGGAGGTCAGGGATATAGCACAGCAGCACAGTGCCTGTTAGCAAGTGCAATGTCCTGAGTTCAATTCCCAGTACCCAAAAACAGAGAGAAAAGAAAGAAAATGGATGGAACTTGGCACCCTAAAGTTAAGTGAAATAAATCATATATAAAAAGTTACATGTAGCACAGATTCTCCTATATGACAAATTTAAGACATAAGAGTAAAATAAAAGAAATTGTAGAAAGCAGAGTGATAGTTGTTGGAGATGGCATGGTGATAGAGGAGGGCGGTGAGAATTGGAAGTGAAGGAAAGCATGCCATATATGTACACCACTTCTCCAAATTGAACGTAACTATGTTGGGTAGCAAGGTTATACTAATTACAAAATTAGAACAAAGTGTATAGCTCTTTAATTAAAATATTACAAAAGCATTAACATGAACAAAATGCAGATATCCCACTGTTTTTGAAGTTAGATGATTATTTTTGGTAATGTTTATCTTTCTGAAATGTTAATGTATCACTCAGAATATTTATTTCTATGAGTTTTCAAAATTGTCTTTAGAGCATATTAAAAGTCTCCAAACTGAACAAGTAGCCCTGCAGTCAGAAAACACTCAGTTTACAAGTGAGCGTCAGAGGCTTCAGCAGAAACTTGAAGTCATGACTGAGCTGTATCAAGAAAATGAAAGGAAACTCCACAGGTAAGAACACTATATTGTTATTTTTATCATTATTATTATTATTTTGAGATATAGTCTCACTATGTAGTTCAAGTTTGCCTTGAACTCAGCTTGTAGCCCAGGCTATCTTTCCACCTCATCTTACTGTGTATGTATGTACAAGTTTGCCTACTTTGTGAAATTTATTTGTAACCATCAGATTAGTTCTTTTTTTTTTTTTTTGCTCTGAATGCCTTCAGGGCAGGTTTGGCTGGCTTGAGTTGTGGGGATCGAACCACAGCACCCTGAGCCTGACTGCTTTGTTTAAGCAGCCATTTAAAGAACTGAGCTAAGGGGCAGGTCCCCTCAGATTAGTTCTTGTAGAGCTTTTGTGGTCATTTGTGGACATGTTAAAAACTAACCTTGAATTGCCCAGCTGAGGCTAAGGTAGCCGAATAAGGTAGTCCCTTGCCTTTCTTGTTTTAACTCTTTTTTTTTTTTTAAATTTTTATTTATTTGTGTGTGTGTGTGTGGCCAGCTCAGCCCACCAGGGGGCGGGGCTGGCTGGCATGTGGTGCTGGGGGATTGAACTGTGGTCCCTGTGCTTTGCTAAGCTTGTTCTAAGTAGGTGCTTTAGACCACTGAGCCATCTCACCAGCCCCAAGAAGTTTGTTTGGATGCAGTTTCTTTTCTTTTCTTTTTTTTTCCGGTGCAACTGGGGATTGAACTCAGGTCTTCGCGCTTGCCAGGCAAGTGCTTATTCTACTGAGCCATTTCCCCAGCCTTGTTTTAACTCTTAGTTGGTTGATAGGATTCATTTTTGTGGTGTTTAATGGCACATCTTTTACACTTTTATGCCTTTTTTTTATGATTTATCTATTTAAAATTCTCTCCAAGCATAGTGCTGAAGTGCTATACCTAGTATTCTGAAGTATAAGGCTGTGATATATTTTATGGGGAAAATACATGTTGCATAAATTTTCCTTAGGCGTGAGTTGTAATACTGTTGGCTGTGAGGACAGTATTAATAAATCAGCAGTAAACATTTAAGTAAAATGAAGCAAGATTATAGGGCTGGTGAGATGGCTCAGTGGTCTAAAGCACCTACTTAGAACAAGCTAAGCTAAGCAAAGTACAGGGACCGCTGTTCGATCCCCCAGCACCACATGCCAGCCAGCCCCGCCCCCTGGTGGGCTGAGCTGGCCACACACACACACACACACACACACACACACACACAAATAAATAAATAATTTAAAAAAAAGATTATATATTGATTGGTTGATAACGTTGTTGTGACCAGAAACTAATAGGGCCCTGATCGTATAGTACCCCTAGGAACAGTGATCCAGTATTTGTTTCAATTCAAGGGTTATGGCAACTCTATAGAGTGTAGCTAGCATAAATTATAAGAAGCCCCTGTATATACGTGTAAGTTGGTAGAAAATATTAATGCCCCGTTGATGTGAAGGTGTTGGATAGTTGGTTAGACTCATTCTCTGCCAGGCTATATATCTCAGTGCTTCGGATTAAATTCGAGGTGAAGATTTACTATTCTTCATGGACTTGTGGGCCATTTTGGCTATGGAAGCGAAATATATTTGATTAAATAGGAGAGCTGAAGTATATAGCCCCAGAGTTTCAGTGAATAAGCTTAAGGGTAAGCTAATCTTTTGAAGTGATTTAGATGATACCATGGCACCTCTGTTCACAAACTTCCTTCTTCCTATGGTGCTGGTTGCAGACTGAATCAAATGAGAACCATGTCAAATTTCCCCATAAGGACAACACTGAACCTAACTTCTGAATTTGATTTGGTTCTCATCCAGTTCAGTTTGCACCCAGAGCCATGTAAAGAATTAAGCTCATGGACTGAGGTGTCACTGTATGGAAATAGATTTTGGACACAGATTGAGATGGACAGAAATATTTCTGAGTGTAATTTTTTTTATTTGCATAGAAGTATATATGGTTGATAGGGGATTTTAATTAGATATATTTAAATTTCAAAGAAGTTATTTTCTATAGATTTTCAAAGCAAGAATGAGAGGCCTAGTAGTATCCTGTATGTGTGATTTCATTCATTAATTTAAAATTTTTTAATTCCCAAAATATTATATATTACATTCTTAAACTTTTTGTTTTGTTTTGTTTTGTTTTGGTGGAACCAGGGATTGAACTCAGACCCTTGTGCTTGCCAGGGAAGCGCTTGGTCTACTGAGCCATCTCCCCGGCCCCTATATTCTTAAGCTACTTACTGCTCAAATTCAGTGAATAATGCTATTAGTCAGTCTTCGGAGCAAAATATAGAATCAACAGAACCAGTAAAGTGTTAGATTTCAATTTTTACCTGCAGATGGTATAATGTAGATTTGGTTGTGTTCTGCCTTGATGGATTTCATGACGTATGTTACATTACTAGCACTTTTTCAAATTTAATATTGCAGATAAATAAAAATATAGAACCTAGGAGCTTATTGTGTTGTTTTAAATATGTGAAGATATGATTGTTCTTTTGTCTCATTTCACATTTGGTTTCTAACTTTAATAGGCCTTCTCAGAATGGAGGGGAGAGTAAATAAGAGCTCAAGTCTCAGTGGGAGAGGTGTCAAAGAATTGCTGGCCATCTTCAGTGTTAAGTCTGTAGAGGCACCGCTTCTTCTATACTTGTGCCATTTACCTCTGCGCTTTTCCTAAGGCAGTGACTTTTATTTTCTTACAGGGCTTCCATAAAGATTACCCTAGGGGAGTACTTTCTAAGCAGTAGGCATGTAGTGTATAGAGTGTGTCCTATGCTGTTTCTCTAGTAGTTTGTAATAATTTCTTTGTAAAGATCATAAAAGGGAGGAGACATCTGTTTAGCACTTCATATGTGTTTTCTTGTGTTCAGTATTTCTTGAGAGAACAGCATTAATGATAGTATGTGAAGTGGTAAGGGTAACAAAGAGGATATGTGAGCCCTCTACCTCGGTCCAGTTGTAGTCACACAGCACAGAATGCTGTATTGGTCAGTGTGAACCATATATGTGAAGGTGCTCTCAGATTATGTTGCCTAGTGACGTTGTGACTGTCTTAATCTGCATAAATGTACTCTGTGATGTTCATAGAATGGGGCTCTGCCCAGTGACATATTTCTCACCAGATTCCTATTGCTAGGTAATGCATCTAGTATTAAGTTTTTCTGTACTTTATTTCTGTTTTTATAAAATAGGAGTAATAATAGTACCTTTCTTATGGAGGTATTATAGTAATTAAATGTCATTACACCTGTAAAGGGCTATAGCAGTGATGGCAAACCTTTTAGAGGTTTTTGTGATGCAAATACTTGCTGTGTCACACATGCCATTGGGTTGCCATCACAGTGCTAGACTAATAGTACATACTAATGGCTCAATAAATTACTTATTATTACTATTAAAAGAACTAAGAAAACCCAGGTGCAGTGGTATATTCCTATAATCCCAGCATGTGGGAGGCTGAGGCAGGAGGATTGCAGTGAATCCAAGGCCAGCATGAATTATATAGTGAGACCTTGTCTCAAAAATCAGAAACCAATAAAATTATGGGGAAAAAATAAATAAAATTATGGGAAAGAAAAAAAACCAGAAACCAAAAACTAGGCCAGTAAACAGGACCAGTACTGCTTCTAATATTATTTACTTTGGGTTTATTCTGTTACTGTTTTTGAACTGGTATGGAAACCTGATCCCTATTTTTAGTCACCAGTTAAAAAAATTTTGAAATACAGTTTATTACATAACTTTTTGTCTAAAATTAAATACTTTTCATATAAGGCTTGATAAATGATAGTCATAATAGTTGTAATTAGCATTTATCTTTATAACCTTATTTTTTTAATAAATTAATATAGAACTATTTCTTTTGGTCTTTTTGAGACAGGGCCTCATTATGTAGTTCAGGCTGGCCTTGAACTCACTATGTAGTTCAGGGTGGACTCAAACTTGGAGTGATCCTCCTGTCTCAGCCTTCTGAGTGCTGGGATTACAGGTGTGTGTACCACCACACCTGGTGTGAACTCAAGACCATACTTTCAGTAGTACTGTATTGGATACAATACAATTTTTTGTTTAAATTATTGGGGTCTACAGGGTCCCACTAAACAGATCAGACTCTTACTGATTCTCCTGTTTTCAGCCTCCCAAGCACTGGGATTATAGGCACGTACCACCATGCCCAGTTTCATTTGCCATCTCAGTGCACCCTGGGGGCAGGGCTGGCATGGCACGCCTAGGATTGAACCCTGATCACTGTGCTTTCCTAAGCAGGTGCCTTAATCCACTGAGCTATCTGGCTGGCCCTACAATACAATTTTGAGTTTATAGTATTTCACACTTCTTTTTCCTTGCATGTGATATTTGGCAGTGGTATTTTAAAATTTGTTTTAGAGGAAACACCAGTATTCATACAGTTTATAAAGATGTATTTGATTATTTTGTGGTCTGTATTAAAATAAATAAAACACTTGTTTTAAGGAAATTAACAGTAGAGGAAAATTGCCGGTTAGAAAAAGATGAGAAACTTTCTAAACTGGATGAAAAGATGAGCCATGCTGCTGAAGAGCTGGAGACCTACAGGTATTAAATAGTCTTTTCTGGGGGGATGAATAGAATATCTGAAAATTCAATAAAAAGAAAAAAAAAAAAGAACAACCAAAACCAAGTGACATATTTCATTTCATTGCTTTCATTCAGAGTTCTTGCTCATATACAATTAATACAGAAAATATAAAAAGCAATATGTTTTCTCTTAAGGGTATATGTTTTTTTTAAACCTCATATTTGAATATGGACAATTATATTTTATGTTACTATCAAAAATTTATAAACATGAATTTTAAGGTCGTTTTCTTTTTGGTTCAAGTGGGAAGAATGTATACAATATTAATGAGTTGCACAATATGCTATAAAAAGTAAAGTAAACCACAGTTAGCATCCTGATAAAGTTATAAGACTACCTTGGTTCAGTCTTCACTAGGTCCAAAGAAATAGAGAAAAAAAGAAATAGGATATAATAGTGTCCAGCATATGTAGTTGTGATATTTTGGTTTACCTTACCAAGAGTAAGCTTGGGTTTTATCAGAAAGGAGTTATTCATCTTATAAAGGTAATAAGTAATGTTTTAGCTGGTAAAAGGTTTTGTTTTTTTTTTTTTTTTTTTGGTGGAACCGGGGACTGTACTCAGGCCCTTGCGCTTGCTGGGCAAGTGCTCGTCTCTCTGGCCCCTTAGCTGGTAAAAGTTGTTAATTTTCTAGAATTCTACTAAGATTACAGGCATCTGAATAAATCTTCCAGGGTCATGTTTCTTAAAAGAAAAGTATATACTGTATACTTTGTGCAAATTTGCTTCAGATAAAACTATGTGGTAGCTTAAAGTTCAGATTACATCAGGATGCATCTGGGAAGATACCCTGGAGAGGTTTGTAAAAGAACCAGCATTTGAGGACATAACTCTGTAGAGTCTGAAAGAAAAAGAATATTTAAACATTTTATGCCTGTCTTTTGAGCACCAGCATGTTAGCATCATCAAAGAATGAGACACATTCCAAAAAAAAATCTAAGAAACATCATAGAAAATTTCCCACTGTCTGTCGAGGTCAGCTTCAGGTGATGGTGACAGCCACAGGAAAAAAGACTGTGGCCAGAGTCCCCTTCTGCCTCAGAATGTTCTCTTAGTTCTGAGTCCGAGTTATAAAAATTATAAAAGAGAAGCATAAGAAGAAAAGCAAGAAGAGGAGAAATAAATCTGACTGTCTGGAATTAAATGCTGCATGAGAAAAGAGTAAAAAAAAAGATGAGGAAAATGAAAAAGACAGGAGATTGGAATCAAAACACAAATTACCTGAGAAAAAGACGGGGAAGGATTCTGGTAATTGGGATGCTTGTGGCAGAGAACTGAGTGAGAGGATTAGAGAAGCGGAGAAAAGAGCCCTTTGGGATCAATAAATTATGCCATATATTTGTTAAAAAATATAATTACATTGAGACAAAATATTCTTTAGAATTTTCTAAATTGAGAGTTGGAGTTATTTTTCACACAAATAGAGTATTGGATATTTTAATAACTTTTTTTGTAGAGTATTTACTATATTTTAATACTGTGGTAGGATAATTATTTGTTTCTTTTAGAATACGAGCCAAAGATCTTGAGGAGGAATTGGAGAGAACCATTCAGTCTTATCAAGGGCAGGTAAGTGTGTATGTGTGTGTGTGTGTAATTTAAAACAATTCTGATTTATTTGAATTGATGCAAGAATATAATTATTTGACCTTTTACTTCTCTTTAGGTATGACATGTGACTGTGGACCAATTTCTAGGGAGCTAAGGATTCTGATGTTAAAAAAAAAATCATATTTAAAGTTCCCTATTTCCTTAGAATTGTGGATTACATGCATTAAATACATGTATCAGCATCAAGGTCTCATTTTTTTTTTTTTTTCTTTTAAGATAGGGTCTTGTGTGTAGTTCAAAGTGGTCTTGAATTCACTATATAGCCCAGGCTGGCCTTAGACTCAAAGTGGTCCTCCTGCCTCAGCCTCTTAGTCCTGGGATTACAGGAGTGCAATACCATGCCTGGCTGGGGTCTCATATTTAGCCAGTTTGGTTATCTGTTAGTCTGGAACTCTTATTGAGTTGATTACTGCAAAAGAATAGAACTTTACTAGACAAAAATCTGTTTTGTATAATCAGATTTTGTTTTAATAGTCTTAATAGAGTAGGTCATGTGTATCTGAAAATACACATGACTAAATTGCCTACCTTTTTATGCTTTAAAATGTTTACTGTCTCCCCAAAGATGTTTGTGGGTATTATGAGTTTATGGGTTGTACATTAAATCATGGTAGTACATAAAGTGATTTGTACTTAAGAAAAATAATTGTGAATATTTTTATACCTTTGTTTTTCAGATTATTTCCCATGAGAAAAAAGCACACGATAATTGGGTAAGTTTTAAATTCTCTTACAGTTCTTTTGTCAAATTCCTTTCAGGAGATATATTGCTCATTTAAAGTAGGTGGGAATACTGATAGCAGTTTTTAAAACATCCCTTAGTTTCATCAGTGGTGAATTCATATTAAAAGTTTCAAACATATACAAAGAAATAGTTATCAGTATCACTTTCATTTGTCTGCACTGCTTGAATGAATTTAGGTATAAACGTGTATGTGTGTGTGGGTGTGTAATGTTTAAAATAATAAATCCTATTACTATATTTTACTGTTTATAACTTGCTGTTAGAAAATCAAGGGAATGGGGGGGCCGAGGAGATGGCTCAGTAGGATAAGCACTTGACTGGCAAACGCAAGGATGTGAGTTCAATTCCCGGTTCCACCAAAAAAAAAAAAAGAAAATCAAGGGAATGAGGGAGAAGATGGGGACATAAAAAGGTTTAAGATGTATTATGTACATGTATCTGTTCCCCAAGATGGATGTAATATTATGTACTGCAAATGTGTATTAATAAAAAAAAGAACAGTAGGCTAGATGTATTTGAAGGAAGGAGAAGTATTTTTTTTTTAAATATATTTAGCACAGTGTCTGCAGGGTCTCAGTACACAGGTCAGACTCTAAGGATCCTCCTGTTTTCAGTCTCCCAAGTGCTGGGATTACCAGCGCGCACGCCACCATGCCTCCATCTCATTTGAATCTCAGCGCACCCTGGGGGCAGGACATGCAGGGCATGCTGGGGATAGAACCCCAGTCACTGCGCTATGCCTACCCAGGCGCTAGGGGAAGTATTTTGATGAAGATTAATGCAATATATTTTTATTATAATAAAAATTTAAATTATGTTTTATAATATATTTGAATATAATTATATAATTATATATTTTTTTTGAGGGAGGGTCTCAGTATGCAGTGCAGGGTGGCTCTGAACTTGCTATTGTAGCACAGGCTGGCATCAAACTCACATAATCCTCCTGATTCAGCCTCCTGAGTGCTGGGATTACAGATGTGGGGCCAGCATGTCTGCCTAGTACATTTTTATTAAACATTAAAAAAACTTGCTCTCAATGTATCAAAGATATTCTTCTATGAATGCTTCATAATTCATAAAAAAACCTCTCATTTGATGACCCTTTAGGGTTTTTTTTTGTTTGTTTTTGAGGCAAGATCTCACTGTGTATTTCAAGCTGGCCCTGAACTTGTTTATATAGCTCAGGCCAGCATGAAACTCAGGACATTCCTCCCGTCCTAGCCTCTTGAGTGCTGGGGTTGTAGGTGTGTGACACCATGCCTGATTTGCACCTTTAGTTTTGTTTCTACTTTTTTATGATTATAAGTTCAGGTATTCATTAAGCATTTCTTTGCTTAATTTTATCCTCTCCTTTTGGATTCATGCTCTACTGATTTTATATGTACTGTGGCAAATATTCTGTTCTTTACTAGTCATTTATATTTGTCCATGCCACAAGACTTTAAAGTCATAAGACAAGAACTCTGTTTCTTTTTGCTTGATGTCTGGACTAACAACAGTTTGTATATTCTAAGTAGTCACTATTTAAATGGTAGTGTTTTGGAAAGCAAAGTGGTCTATTTCTCTCTATCTCATTCTCTCATTTTCTCATTCTCTCTCTCTCATTCTCTCATTCTCTGTCTTTCTTGTGGTACCAGGGATCGAACTCAGGACCTTGCACATGCCAGTCAGGCACTTATGCTATTGAGCTATTTCCCTGGTCCTATTTCTTTAGTGTTGCCACATTATTATGAGTTTTGTGCCTAACGGTTAATATGTTATACTGTGTAGAAATCATTGAGAAATAATTTTGGTTCTACATTGTTAACAGTTAAAAGAATATTTTATTTTACTAAAATTTCATTAGTGTAACATTATTGTTAGAATACAGTTGATTATATCATTACTTATTGGAAAAAGATTTACACATGGAATTGTTTTTTTGGCAGTGAGTGCTAACATAATTTTAAGCTGTACTTTTTGCAGGCATTTACATAATTCACTTGGCCAGTTAAAGTCAGTTCTGAAGGGTAATTCACAATTTTAAGTGAAAGCAAATTTGACAGTATAGCTCCTTTTACTTTTAAAGGCATGGTTCTAGACTAAATTGTCTACCTTTTTATGCTATTAGATATGATCAAATGTATAGTTAATGTTAAATTTAAAAAAGATTGTTATAGTAAAAGACACATTACCATTGCTAGCCCTCAGAAGTTTTTTCCTCACTTTGAGTACTTGCATCCCATCATTCTTATCACTTTTGGAGCAGTTCTGCAAGTCCTTTCCTGAGAAGTATCTTTAGTTTTGCTGTCCTGCCTGTCAATGTCATAACTCAATTCAACATGCTTACTTTTCATGGTTATTTTTTCACAAAGAAGTTGCATGGTGCCGGATGTGGTGAATAAGATGGATAAGGAGACATTATAGTGTTCTTTTTTATTTTTATTTATTTATTTTTTAAAAGTATTTAATACAGTGTCTACAGGGTCTCACTACACAGATCAGACTCGTAGTGATCCTCCTGTTTTCAACCTCCCACGTGCTGGGATTATAGGCACATGCCACCATACCCGGTCTCAGTTGCCCTCTCAGCACACCCCATGGGTGGGGCTGGTAGGACATTCCAGGAATTGAATCTGGTCCTTGCATCTGCCTAAGCAGGAGCTTTAGTCTGCTGAGCTATCTGGCCGGCCCTGTTGTGTTTTTATAAGACAAAAATTGCCATAAACATTTGAATCACTTCAGGATGTCCAGGCAGCTACAAAAAGATACCTAAAAAAGAGGACTTCTGGAACTGCTTCAGAAAGTGACAAAAATGATGGGATAAGGGTGTTTAAAGCAAGTGTGACTACAAGCATATAAGCTTTGGACTTAGCTATCTGAGGTCTACTCTTTATTCATGATGGTATCATGTGTATGTTTTTTTAGTAAATAAACTTTTGGATGTGGGAAAAAGGGAGAGGAGTTTGAGAGGAATTAGTGGCAATTTTACTGTAAAGAAATTTTAAAATATTTTATGTAAATATTCACTGGAGGTTTTGATCACACCTTGTAAGCCCAATGAATTGCCCTAATTTGGCTGGGCTAGTGCTCTTCATGTTGCTGTGTATTATCTCTAGAGCCCTCAGAGTGAGTGGGAAACATGGTACAGTATTCTGTAGAAGTGTAGCTTTTACCAGCAACTCCGTAGGAATAGTGCATGTTCTTGCTATTTATTATAAACGTAAGCTTTGCTTTCTGTATATATAGTCTGATTTTTTTTTTTTTTTTTTTTTTTGAGATAAGAGTCTTGCTCTGCAGTCCAGGCTGACCTTGAACTTACTACGTAGCCCAGACTGGCTTGAATTTGTGGCAATACTGCTTCAGACCCCCAAGTGCTAAGATTACAGGCATACGCCAGCATGCCTGTTTATGCTCTGATCTTAATTTTTTATTAAATAAAAATATCACTAAATGTAATACACAGATGGAATACTATCTGTATAAATCTGTGTACTTACCAGATGTGCAGTATTGATTATATTCAGCCATTTAAAAAGTTGATGTGAACAGGGATGCTGTGAAATTACTAGACTGTTAGGGTTTCACAGAGCCAGTGATTTTTCTCCGTTACTGACTACATTGTTCCATAACGAGGGCTGTATGCTGTGACTCTGAGTTGCCATTGCCCTGAGCACGTATGCTCTTAACCTGTACCTGGGTGTTGTATCACCAAGTATACTAATCCAGGATTTCACACTTGGACAGTAACTGTCATTGAACACATGGTTAACTCTCTTCTTAGGCTCATGTCTTCTGCTTACGTGAAATTTGTTCCTGTTTAAATATTTTCCTTGGGGCCAGGGAGGTGGCTCAGTAAACTAAACGCTTCCCTGGGAAGCACAAGGGCCTGAGTTCAATCCCTGGTTCCGCCAAAAATAAATAAATATTTTCCTAAATTTAAAGTTTTTTTTTTAAATTTAAAGTGTTTTGCATTGAGTTTATGAAATTACTTAGGTAATTGCCTATTTTTATTTATTTATTTATTTTTTTAAATTTTATTTATTTATGTGGTGTGTGTGTGTGTGTGTGTGTGTGTGTGGCCAGCTCAGCCCACCAGGGGGCGGGGCTGGCTGGCATGTGG